CAGAGTTCTTAATTAAAGCCAAATGCTTTGTCATTTCACATTAAAGCTCTAAGAAATGGTCACATCATACTTGCCTTGCGTTTTACTTTATGGTCAGAATTGTAGATTGCTAACATTTTTATTATTTATAAGTTGACTTTGTTTTTATCTTATTCGCGAATAAGAGACTTTAGCTATAAGCTATCTTAGTTTATGCAAGTTACGCTGTATATGTAGTCGTGCCGAAGCCATTGGCCAGCATTTGCTGGTCGATCCACTCACGAGCCAAGGCAACATTGGCGTAGGCCGCGGGCACTGCATCGTTGCATCCAATACCCCAGGCCACGATGCCGCTTTGTTGATAGCGATTTTCGGATGGTAATCCGATTGGGCACGCAAGCGGCGCACCACCATCGCCTTGACAGGTGTCGACACCACGTTGACCGCCGGCGCACATGAACGACCGATCCAAGGCGAATTTGGGCCCGAGTCGCGTATTACGCAGCTGTGATTGACAGGTGCTGAAATCGACGACGGGCAGCGGTACACGTTTCATAATAACGCTGTACTTGCCAGCGGCTCCAAAGACGTCCTTACCCCAGCCGGTGGAGAAGCAAGTGGTGCCGGCCGAGGCGGCAGCACCCTGGGCAGGTAGACAAACCACATTGATGTGATCGTCTAATGTGAACTGCTGTGAGAGGATAACGAGCGCAAAGTCATTAGCAACGTTCCTGACCTTGTATTGCGGATGCAAAATGATGCGCTGTGCCGTTTGCTCCTGGTAGGGTAAACGCTCCTTGGTAGTTTGTGCATCCCATTCGCCAGCTCGGACTAGGAATGTGCCCGGCGCATGAGTGAGTAAACAGTGCACTGCCGTGAGCACCACTTGTGGGTGGATGAGTGAGCCACCACAGAAGTAGCTGAAATTGTTGGCATGCAGAAGAGCAACTGTCCAGGGGAACTCGCCAAAACCGGCTTCGTTCTGCGTGGCACCAGACAGTGTGAAGTCCAATCCACCGACATTGCGAATTCCACAGCCTCGCGGCTGGTTTGGTCGCTTTTCCAAAGGCGTTGGGTTCAGAACCTCTTGGCGTGTGCGATTGCCGGCACAGCAAACGTCCACCGATGAGGGACAAACAGGATCATCATCGCCAAAGCGAATGTCAATGACTCCAAAGCCATCAAATGAACCATCCTCCGTAATGCTGTTCGTCGATGGATCGCACATATAGTAAGGCACGCAATTACAATCTGCCGTCTTGCCACTGATGGATGTAAAATCAATCAGTGGACTCGAGGGATCCACGGGAACGGGTGTCACCACTTCCGCAAAGCCACCGCGTGCCGGCTGATTCGGTACACCGGGATTTGTATTGAATATTTCCTGAATATTTTTTTCCACATTTGTAGCTTGTTGTGGAGCGGCACACACACAGGAGATGCACAAAATGGCTATTGTAGCCCATGCGAGATTATGTAGTCCCATTCTGTTTCACCTAACAAAAAGTAGATTCTTAATCACATTTTTACTTAAAAAGGTCATAGCTCCAAAAAGTTCTTCAGAGTGGACCAGATAAGGTAGACGAATTTGCCTAATAAATAGTTCATGATTAAAGAATACTACTACAAATTTGAGCACAAAACAAACAAACACAAAAATTAAGTGGGTTAATTAATTAATATTTAAATAGAGACATAAACAATTTTTAATGAAAACCCGCGAATCATGTTTGACTCGTTTCTAATCTCACTATAAAAAGGGGGAAAAAACCAACTTAATTGAGAGCAAGTTTTCATTCTTCACTCGTACCTGTTGAAATATTTTATAAATAAACGCTCAAAAGAGTAGCAATAGTTACGACTGAATTCAGCTGGAAATTCTAAGTAAACAATGACGTCAAATGAAATCAAAGCGATTTCATTGGGGCATTTCCCAAAAGCGACAATTTTTGCCAAAAATGTAGATACTCTTACCAACCTTGACTTGTGCAGTTTCGATAACCTTGACTTTTGGTCAAAAAGCCCCACAACCGTTGATTAGCGCTTGACTTTTTTCAAGATCTATGGAAGCCAGACAAACTTGTAAGCCCGTATTGCAGCCAGATCCAATCGGCGACTCAAGAGCTGTGCACGCGAGCGAATTTCATTAAAGACTACCGCTTAAAGCTTTGAGCAAATCAGATACATTGGACGCACTCGTAGAAATGCCCAGCGATGAGCTTTAGAGTAAAAGCTTTTGAGCGTGTTAGTTCTCGCGCTCCAGTCTGATAATCCAAAGAGCTAATCGTAAACCTACAATGAAAGCGCGCAGAGAGCTTCTCACATTCGTTTCACAATGGTCACACGTCACAATCCACAATCCAGCTTTTGATCCGCTCATCAAAAGAAACCGGTTTAGGGGGTTTGTATCGCACTCACAGGTCTTCAATAGTAGGGCCTTCAATTGTGTATAAGTCGGTCAATATATCAATGCCCCAAGCCTGTATTTTCAATAATATAGCTGATTGAATACACATAGGTCTAATGAAATATAAGAATTTTTCCCTCTTGATAATGTTAAGTCCTATAAAGTAGTTTCCAGTATATGAGTCGTCGGCCTAACTAGACAACCTGTAAGTCAGGCAAATTAACGACAAAAAGATACGGCTTTGTAGGAAAGGGCTATTTAAAAGTTAGAAAGCGTACAACGCCTTATATCCTTATGAGTACTAATAATGAACCCATTTTTCACTACTCGGTAGATAAGTTATGTAATTCACTTAGCTGAATAACTAGGATCAGTATTCGAGTTCCTTGTACAAATAATGATAATAATCCTTGAAGTTTTTTAACAAAATTCTAAAGCAAGCAATTCTAGATTGCTCTATAAATTGCAGACCATAAATATTGAGATACTCGCTACACTTAACCAAAGGCTCAAATAGTTTCAACTATATTTAGTAGGGCTTACTAGGGCTTAAGCTGAATTGACTATGCCTAAGCTGAACTTTGCTATTTGCATAGCTAACAACGGTTTTTTAAAAAATATTTGGATTGACACTGACGGCCAGAATGTGTTGCCTCTGGCCAAACACTCAAATATGCACACACACGCACGCCCGCATGCATGTGTAGAAAAGGTATGAAAAATCTAAAATGTTTGATTGGCATTGATTGTGGAAAGTCCTTGGGGCATTTCCTGGCCGCAATCAAGCCACTTCTGCAAATTATAAGCAACAATCGTTGCAAGTATTTTCTTTTGTTCTTTGTTGTCATAAAAAAAAATGGACATGCATGTTTTTTTTTGCCACATGTTATTTCGGTATTTTAAATTGGACTTAATTGTTGTGTGTGCATATACATAATGTGTATATACAAAAGTATGCGCATATGTAAGCAGCAGAAACTTTGAGCACATTTGCTGCACCACGCAAGAGTTTTGCACCAACAAAAAGATACCCATGCAAATTACACTCAAATAAAAAGTAAAAAAGAAATTAAGTTTTGCAACTATGTGTAGCAAAAAGTGGGACTCTTGAAAGCAAGTTTACTCTTCAATTAAAGATTGCCGCTCGCTGTCACCAGCAATACTTTGACTGGCATCTACGAATTCCTTTGAAAAAACTGTTTTCAAGACTACAAGAACTACCTTGCATTATTAATGAAAGGTGAAATAGCTATGAATCTTCGGAAATTTTGTCAGAGAATATCCTACTTTGGGAATTTGCTAAAGAAATAAATGGTCACATCTAGCAAGGAGCTGGTGATACACACGATCATAAAAAAATACAGACATAAAATCTGTTTTTAAGGACGATGGCGAGAACTTTTGTGATTCGATCCGATCTTTGTATTAAACTTGCTGGCGATACTTTCTAGTTTTTAAAATGCAACATGTGTTGGCATATGCTTGTAAATCGTATATTATATTATTATAGACTGGCAACAGTCGCATATGCATACGCATTCTATTAAAGAAGTTCAACGAACGACTCATTGATTTGCATTTCGCCGGTGGAAGCGGCTTGTTCAAGTTCATTAACTTTAAAAGCATTACACAAATTTAAGCCCATCGAAACGGGCAACTACATACGTACATCTGTACGTATACTTGATTGATTTGCAGTGAAAAAAAAAAGAAGAAAAACATGGAATCAGCTTTGTACCTTACACAGTCGTTCCAATAATACTCTACGCATAGATGAAATACATGAAAAGCGAGCTGAGTTTGTCTTGATTGGTATTCTCAGGCTAAACTTAAAGCATGTTTCCAATACATGAATATACATTTTATATTAAACAATATGAAATTTATTATTAATATTCTCTAACCTTTATAGCCACAACAACTCGGATCTAATAATATCTATTAATTTAAAAAAGAAACACAAGGCTTAAGACATATTAAAATTTAGTTGAAATTTATATAAATAAGATACTGGGTGTGTGGTATTCCAAGTATTGACTTACACAATAGAGGTTTTAGAATTCTCGTAATGGCGCAAAATGAAAGAAAAGTGACCAAGAGTATCGGCCTTTGAAAACGTGTGACTTATGCAAATCCCAGCCCAAACGTGTCACACGTAATCCATTAGTTTTAAGTTTTTGCCAGATTTTAATAAGAAAAGAAAAACACCAAGGAATTTCAAATTTTGTACATATTTCTAATTGAAAAGCTAAAAATGATAGTTATGTAGTATATATTAAATAATCGTGCCATTTATTATTTACTTACCTGGATTTGTGCACTTTAAATGTGATAGCCTTTGAATTTACAGTGCATCGCGAAATGAGCTGTTTATTTATGCAATTCGTTGACTTTAATTACTGGGGAGTGTTTGTGGTCAAAGTATTCACCATTTTTATTCCTTCTGGAATTTGTAATATGCCCACCCAGCAAGTGTATAAAAGCAGCTAGTGGAAAAGTTGTGGGTTTAATTGATGTTTGTGTGGCAATTCGGTCGCACACTCTCGCTGGATTACGCAAGCCTAAAACATATTGTGATTTATAATAGTGTTAAAGTGAAAATACAACTTAAAGGATAATCAAACAATTTTAAACAACAATATCCCTGTAATTAAACAAGTGATTTAAACTCTGTAAAATGGCTACCGAAATGTTGTTGAAAAAGCACAAAAAATACTCAAGAATTCTTCCTGAGACCGATGGTGATGAAATTGTTATTTCCGGAATGGCCGGAAAATTTCCCAACTCGAAAAACATAACGGAATATGAATACAATCTTTATAACAAGGTTCGTTACAACAAAACATACAATAACACAACTTGTGCAAGAGATATACTATTATTAACAACACTTGACAATAATATAAATATATTAACTAAAATTTAATATCATAAAAAAAAACTTTAAGTCCAAGTAATTAAGCTTATTTAGCTTAGCTGTGCCTCCAAATAAAAACAATTCTCGCGTATTTCGAATTTTTTCTGGATATATCATAGGCAATACTTTTAGCATTATACTGCAAAAAATAACACAAATTTTAATAGTTTAAAACTTTTTCAAGTCACCAAGCTGTTGAATATAAATTGGAAAGTAAAATGAATCGGCTAAATTTGTTACGAAAAAAATAGTTTACTTAAAAGAACAAAGTTTACATTTCTCGAACTAACGATTTCGGAATCGAAGCTCAACTCATTATTTTGATTCGCAACCTTTACTTTGCATCAGATTGACATGGTAGATGACGATGAGCGTCGTTGGCGTCACTTCAATCCAGAGATACCCAAGCGCTCTGGAAAGATCAGCAATCTTGAAAAGTTCGATGCCACATTCTTTGGGGTGCACTTTAAGCAAGCCCATACCATGGATCCGCAAACACGTATACTGATAGAGACGGCGTACGAGGCGGTCATTGATGCGGGCATAAATCCAAAAAGTCTGCGTGGCACTAAGACGGGAGTCTATGTTGGATCCTGTATATCCGAATCGGAGAAAACCTGGTTCTATGAGAAGGTGTCATCTGGTGGTTTTGGCATCACCGGTTGCAGTCGGGCCATGTTGGCCAATCGAATTTCTTACAGCTTGGGCTTGGAGGGTCCATCGTTTTTGCTTGACACGGCTTGCTCCAGTTCAATGTATGCACTTGACAATGCGTTTAGTGCTCTTCGGAATGGTGAAATTGACGCCGCAATTATTGGTGGCTCCAATCTGTTGCTTCATCCCTTCGTGACGCTTCAGTTTGCTCGGTAAGCATCTTAATGGCATTCCATATTCCGTATGGAATATACTTATATCTTGTTTCAGCCTTGGTGTTTTGGCTCCCGATGGCTTCTGCCGTCCGTTCGACAAAGATGCAAGTGGATACACGCGCTCCGAGACAATCAACTGCATGTTCTTGCAAAGGAAGCGAGATGCAAAGCGCGTCTACGCAAGTGTCATTTACTCGAAAACCAACTGTGACGGTTACAAGCCGGAGGGCATTACCTATCCTTCGGGCAAGGTTCAAGAGAAACTGCTTCAAGAATTCTACCAGGAAATTGACGTCACCCCAAATGACCTAGGCTATTTGGAGGCCCATAGCACTGGAACCGTGGTGGGTGATCCGGAAGAGTGCAAGGCAATTGACAATGTGCTCTGCAGCCAACGCAATGAACCATTGCTCGTGGGCTCTGTTAAGTCAAATGTTGGACATTCGGAAGCCGCATCTGGCATCTGTTCTCTGGTAAAGGCCTGCTTGGCTTTCGAAACCGGAGTAATTCCGCCCAATATTAACTTTACCGAAGTGAAACCTTCAATTACGGCACTTTCGGAGGGTCGTTTAATTGTGGTCAAGGATTGCACTCTTCTACCAAAGCCTTACATCGGAATTAACTCATTCGGTTTTGGTGGTGCCAATGCCCATGCCATCTTGAAAGCATTTCCCAAGACAAAGGTAAATTTTGGTTTGCCTGAAGATAATCTACCCAGGCTTCTGACTTGGGCCGGCCGAACGGAAGATGCTGTTAATGAGATTTTCAATGCAATCGAAAAGAAACCTTTGGATGCTGAGTTTATTGGACTCTTGCAACATATTCAGGAGGAAGATGTTTCCGGCATGGTATTTCGCGGCTATGGCATATTTGCCAACAACGGCGTGGAACCGACCAAGGCCCTGGTTAAAGATGTGCAACATTATACCGGTCTAAAGCGACCCATTGTCTGGGTGTTCAGCGGCATGGGTTCACAGTGGAACGAAATGGGTTCCTCGCTGATGGTAATACCACGTTTCCGAGAGTCCATTGAAGCATGTCACAAGACATTAGCGAAGAAGGGACTTGATCTCATTGATATACTTACATCAAGTGATCCTGCCATTTACGAGAATATTTTGCACTCGTTTGTCGGCATCGCCGCAGTCCAAATCGGTTTAACTGACGTTTTGCGTTCACTTAATTTGGAACCCGATTACATAATTGGTCATTCTGTTGGAGAACTTGGTTGTGCCTATGCAGATGGAGGTCTTACGGCTGAGCAAATGATACTTGCCTCCTACTATCGTGGACGAGTCAGTGTGGACAGTGAAAAAATAAGAGGTGCGATGGCTGCTGTGGGCATAGGCTACAAGTCGATTAAGAACATGCTCCCAGAATCCATAGAAGTGGCCTGCCACAATGGTGCCGACTCCTGCACCATCTCTGGCCCAATCGACGACGTTACACGATTTGTGGCTGAATTGAAATCGAAGGGCATATTTGCAAAAGAAGTGCCCTGCTCGAATATTGCGTATCATTCAAGATATATTGCGCTCATGGGCCCCCCACTGTTCAAGTACATGAAGGAGACTATACCACATCCGAAGCCCAGGTCAGAGAAGTGGCTAAGTACCAGTGCTCCAAAGAGCGATTGGGAGCATCCGGAACGTAAACTATGCTCTGCCGAATATCATACAAATAACTTGCTGAACAGTGTACTCTTCGAAGAGACTTTCGCTCTGCTGCCGAAAAATGCCTTGACTATTGAGATTGCTCCACATGGATTACTAGGCGCTATTCTCAAGCGATCCATGCCAAATGGTATTCATATTCCGCTCACACACCGAGGAAACAAGAACAATGCGCTCTTCTTTATGACAGCTCTTGGCAAGTAAGTACTATTGAAAATATCTTAGGCTTAAGTATATTTAACTAGCAACCCTTTGTTTAACTTTTTGCAGATTATACCAAAACGGTGTTATGGTACCTGTTGCAAATCTATATCCTAAAGTTCAGTTCCCAGTCTCCCGGTCCACACCGAGCATTAGTTCACTGATTCGTTGGGATCACAGCGAAGATTGGTTTGTAACCAAGTATGAAAATATGAAGACTAAATCCAGCGGGGAACGAGTATTCTCCGTCAACTTGAGCAGTGATAATGAGGAATTTATGAGTGGACATGTCATAGATGGCAAATTTCTGGTGCCCGCCACATGCTATTTGCAATACGTTTGGGAGACGTTCTCTCTTATGTACCATGGACCCAGCTATATGGACGTGCCAGTCGAATTTGAGGAAGTGCAATTCCTACGAGCCACAAATATGTCAGTTAATGGACAAGTTGAGCTGAATGTAATGATTCACTATGGCACGGGTCACTTTGAGGTAAGCAAAAGGCACACGCATTTTAACAAATAACTTTTAATTCTTTAATTCGTCATTATTTTCAGATAACTGATGCTGGTGCCTTAGTGGTCACAGGCACAATCAGAGAGATTGAAAGTCCCACCATACCGGAAGTCTATCATTTTGAAAAGGAATCGAAATTCCCGATGGTTTCCAAAAAAGATTTTTACAAGGAGCTCAAGCTGCGTGGATACCATTACAACGGTGGGTTCCGTGCGGTAAGGAGCGCTCGCTCGGATGGCTTATATGGTCAAGTCGAGTGGAACCTCAACTGGGTAACATTTATGGATGCAATGCTACAAATCCATATTTTGGGCACGGACTCACGCTCCCTTCTGCTGCCAACGAAAATTCGCAAGCTGCGCATTAATGGCTTACATCATTTCGATTTGATGAGTAAAATGGATCCCGAGAATCGAGTTCTTGATGTGTACGTGGATCACAAGTACAATCGCATTGTAGCGGGTGGCATAGAGTTGACTGGACTCCATGCCAGCCCAGTGCAAAGGCGCAGACCACCAGGCATACCAGTATTGGAGAAATACGAATTTGTGCCCTATTTACCAGCTCCAAAAGTAGCTCTATCGAATGCCGCACGTATCTGTGTACAACTCGCCCTTGAGAATGTTCCAGTGTTGAAGATAAAACTGGTGGAGGTGGATACTGATGGTAGAGACACTGTGCTGGACAAGTTCACCGATGCCATTGAGGATTTGCCAGTTATAACCGGAGAGTATATGTATTTGACCGGTAGGAAGATTGAAGATATGCCTGGAATACATATAGAAAATGGAAAATTGTCCACTTTGTCCAACTACCACTTCGTGGTGGCGGGTGGCATTTGCGGCGAGCTCAACGAGGATGTTATCAAGAATGCCCAAAAGGTGCTCATTGATAATGGTTTCCTCTTGATCAGAGAGCGACCCACGATGAACCTAAGCAGCTTAAAACTGCCCGAACAATTCCGCTTGATAACGGTAATTCCAATTGACAGCAATGAGGAAGTGCTCCTACTCCTCCAAAAGGTGCCCAATAAACTGCAAATACAACCGACTGTCGTCAAGGTTTCTGACAATGACAAGAATTTTGAGTGGATAGGTCAGGTGCAGTCCGCCATAAGCAGCAAGAGTCCTGTTGTTGTGTACGCATTCAAGGAAGAACTGAACGGTTTGATTGGCTTGGTAAATTGTTTGCGAAAGGAGCCCGATGGCAATATGGTCAGCTGTTTCTACATCGATGATCCCAATGCACCCGAATTTAGCCTAGCGGATCCCTTCTATTCGAGTCAATTTGCATTGGGCCTGGCCTTCAACATTTATCGAGATGTAAGTAACTAATTATATTATCCATATTCATGATAGTTTATAGTAAATTATTCGTATAGGGCGCTTGGGGCAGTCTCAGGCATCTTCATCTGCCCGTGAATGATGAGGTCAAGCCTAGATTAGATCACATCTATGGAAATGTGATGCAACGCGGAGATTTGTCTTCATTGCGATGGTTCAAAGGACCCCTGGCTCCCAACGACTGCATGATCAAGATCGCCTACTCATCGCTGAACTTCCGAGACGTAATGCTCGCCACGGGTCGTTTGGCAGTTGAACTTTATGGAGCGAACCGGATCGATCAAAGTTGCGTGCTGGGCTTTGAATACTCCGGCATCAACATGAAAACAGGCAAACGGATTATGAGCATGGTGGTCAAAGGTGGCGTTGCTTCTTATGTGGAGGAGCCCTCAAAGCTCATCTGGGAAATTCCCGATGGCTGGTCCCTGCAGGAGGCGGCTACGGTTCCAGTTGTCTACATAACTGTATATTATGCGTTCTTTATGGCCACCGACATTCGCAAGGGCAAGAGCATACTTATACACGCTGGCACCGGTGGTATTGGCTTGGCGGCCATTCGTGTGGCATTGGCCTACAATCTGGAGGTGTTCACCACCTGCAGTACACCCCAAAAGAAGAAATTCCTGTTGGATACCTTCCCACAGCTAAAAGGTAAGCATAACCTATCCAGGTTCTTATTTATGCAAATAACGTAATATAAACGAAATCTTCCATAGAATCCCACATTGGCAATTCCCGTGATACGTCCTTCGAGCTAATGGTGCAGCGCGAAACTGATGGCAAGGGTGTAGACTTTGTGCTGAACTCCTTGTCGGAAGACAAGCTGCTGGCTTCAGTGCGCTGTCTGGGACAATCGGGCCACTTCCTGGAGATTGGTAAATTCGATATGGCCAACGATAGCAAGCTGGGCTTGGGCTGTTTCCTTAAAGAGCTTACCTTCCATGCTGTGTTAGCCGATAGTCTGTTGGTGGCACCCGACGAAGATATTTGGGTATTTATTTGGTGCACATATCAATATCAAGTCCAACTTCATCCATTGTTATCTGCAGTATTTGAAAAAACTTATTGATGCGGACATTGCCAGCGGCATTATACGGCCATTGCCAGTGACAGTCTTTCCGGCTCATGAAATTGAGCAGGCCTTCAGGCATCTGATTGGTGGCAAGCACATTGGCAAAGTCATAATTAAAGTGCGTGACACTCCCGAAGCAGCAGAAACGTTGCCGGTGCGCGTCCTTAGTCAAGTCTACTTCAAACCACATATGACCTACGTTATTCCCGGAGGCTTGGGTGGTTTCGGCATGGAGCTAGCCGATTGGATGGCTCTACGTGGCGCACGCAAGCTAGTGTTGAGTTCTAGCCGTGGCATCACCAAGGACTATCAGTGCTACCGCATTGCGTATGTATATGCTTAATAGCTTAACTCTCATGATCCTAACAATGCTCCTCTATTTAACCGCAGGCTGTGGAAGACTTACGGCTGCGAAATAGTCATTAACACGGCCGATATATCTACGTTCGATGGCTGTCGCAATCTATTGTTGGCTGCTGCCGAACTGGGTCCAGTTGGCGGCATTTTCAATCTGGCTGTGGCACTACGGGACGGCATCTTTGCCAATCAAAATGCTGAGCAATTTGTACAGAGCTTCTCGCCGAAAGCAATTGCCACCAAACATTTGGATGTGTTGTCGCGCACTTTATGTCCTGAACTGGAGCATTTCGTAGTATTCTCAAGCGTGTCCTGTGGTCGCGGAAATGCCGGACAAACAAATTATGGCATGGCCAATTCTGTCATGGAGCGCATCATTGAGTGCCGCCATAGGGAGGGACTTCCCGCTAAGGCCATACAATGGGGTGCCGTGGGCGAGGTTGGGCTGGTCGCCGACATGGCTGAGGATAAAATTGACATGGAAATTGGTGGAACGCTGCAGCAAAGAATCTCGTCGTGCCTACAGGAGCTGGACACATTGCTCAGTGCAGAACCAGCGATTGTGGCGAGCATGGTTGTTGCCGAGAAGCGCTCAGGACGCTCCGGAAACGAGAGCATTATCGATACGGTAATGAACATAATGGGCATACGTGACCTGAAGTCTGTGTCCCTTGGCACAACACTCTCCGAGATGGGTATGGACTCCCTTATGGCCGTTGAAATCAAGCAAACTCTCGAGCGTGACTTTGAGCTCGTACTGACGCCACAGGATCTGCGTTCACTTACCTTCCAAAAGCTGCAAGAGTTTATGGAATCCAGGGAGAAGGATACGGATGCGGTCAAAATGATTTTCGCGTCTGAAGGCAAGATCTTGGGCATGGACTTGCTGCTGCGTAACCTGGGTGACGAAGCCCACTGTGATCAAATAATGTATCCGTTGGAAACACAAGCGGCATCTTCGAAGCAAAGCCTTCCACCTAATATCATAATACCCGGCATGGAGGGTACTGCCGGTCAAGCATGGTATAAAATAGGCTCCAGCTTGAAAAGCAGGACGAATATTCTACAGCTCCATCAATTTGCTGAATTGGAGACCGTCAGTGAAATTGCTCAACATGCATTGCAGGTAAGAATCCTAGAACATCACCATACCAGTTGTCTAAACTTGGCTTGAATTCAAATGTATTTTCTCTCTTCGTAGCATGTTAAAGCGCTACTGAAACCGTCAGATCCATTCTACCTTATTGGCTATTCTTATGGCTCCTATGTGGCTCTCCAACTGGCGGCTCTGCTGGAGAACTTGGGCTTCCGTGGGCATGTGCTGTTAATCGACGGTGCCCCACACTTCCTAACAAGACTTACGAACCTGCATTTGGGTGCAAATTTCACGGATAACGATCTATATAACTTGCTCTTCTCTAGTATTGTCAACCAAATATTCCCAGAGGAAACCAAGGAATCGGCAGCTCTAGTTTTCCATAAGCTTGACACACTCAAAGAGAAAATGGACCTGTTCATGGAATATGTTGACAAACAGAATGTCTACAGCAAAGAATACTCCAGAGCAATGGTCGAGGCGATGTTCCGTAGAGTTAAAAGTGCTGCACAATTCGATTCGAACAGCGTAAAAGACCTGAAATCGCCCATTACGCTAGTACGCCCCGCTGAAGTCTCTCTGCAGGATATCGAAGAAGACTACGGTGTATCAAAGCTGACTTCGGGTAAAGTTACGCTTAAGGTAATTGAGGGCAATCATACGACAATGTTGGATAATCCAGTGCTGCCGCAAATTATAAACGACTTTGATCCTGGGCTTTTGGATGACAAGAGCTTCGAGGAGTATATTCGAGATGTGAAGGCCGTGTCCGTGGTTTAAAAATTCTATATTACCTTTCTTCTAGTTATTTTCACTTTAACGTTTTAAAGCTTGCATCAAATATTATTACTATCATAAAATAAAACATGTTTTCTTAAAAATTGCTGGAGCTTTGCTAATTCACTCTAATTGTTTAACATTTAATCTGCTGAATCATTTCATGTGAACGTTCTGAACTGGTCTTCAATAGCCCTGACTTTAGCTATATTATATGTCACACAAATTTAACCAGACAACGAAATCCAGTTTGCCAATAACAAGATCAATCACATCTCCAAAAACATGTTCGAAAGCATATCAACTCAGCCCAAGAACAACAAATTAATTAAGAACACGAATTTAATGATAACAAAGTAAAAGTTATATTTAAAAGCTACTTACAATCTCCAGATGACTGTCTAACGAGGCGTTTTCTGCGCCTGCTGCACCGTTTGCTGGAGCAACTGCATCTTGTGGTAGCCGGCAACATTGCTGAATGTCTTGAGCAGCGTTTCAATCTCTTTGCCACTGATGAGCGGCAAAAAGTTGCCAGCACAAGTGCAAAACTCAGCGAGATTCTCGCGTTTGATTTCGTTGCAGCGCTCGCAGCGCAAATCCTGCAGCACATAGGACATCATCTTGCGTTGGAGCGCATCAATCATACGCATCTCGATCTCCTCATTGTCATAGGCCACATAGCACTGAGCGCACAGCCAAACGGGTCTGCAAGTGGGGAGAATGCATCATTATCGATGTAAAGTGTGCTAGTCGAATGCACTTACATGCCATCCTTCATGGCGCGATGTTTGTCCTTGCATAGATCCAGATCGCGACAATGGTTGCACGCCTTGCAGATGACCTCGTTGATGATGTACGTATCACAGGGATCTGTCCAATCGGCCAGATCGGAAAACTCACCGACGCCCACCAGACGCAGCATATTGCGGCGCAGCTCATTAATTTGCTCCGCCAGAGCTTTATCCACGCTCAGCACCTTGACAATGGTGCGTATGAGGTCCAGCCCGGGACTGGGCTTGCCCTTGCCATAGTTCTTGTGCAGCTTGAGCACAAAATCGAAGGCACAATGCGAAATATCCTTGATAGCCTGTTCGGTGGTCTTGCGCTCCGCCAGAGATTGCATGAACAGCGTGAGCAGAGATTCAAATTTCTCCCGACACTCGTTCTCCTCCGGCAGCTGCTCCCCAATAGTCCAATTTAGCTCCAGGGAGAGCTCCTCCTCCTCCTCTGGCTCCTCCGGCAGCTCCTCAAGACCAGCTTCAATTTCTTGTACATCATCATTGTCATCATCGTCATCCTCGTTGACATGTCCATTGCGGGCCTGGCTCTGACGCAGCGTTGTGCTGCCCACCGCTATAGCTGAGACAGTCTCATCGATTCCTTTGGGCAGCCTGCCTCGTATGCCCGAGAAGTTAGACTGATCCAGCCAGAGCATAAAATTCCAGCACTGTTCAAAGCTCAGCTGTATGGAGTGAAACATTTCCTTGTTCCGCAAACTCTGCACAATGTAGTCCACATAGCCCAGGGCATCCGAGACGGTCCGCTTGCCCGAACTGAGTATGATCCTGTTGAAGTCCGCATAGACTATAGTGGCGCCCAGGCGCTTAAACTCTGCTATGATGCGCAAGAACATTTTACGCATCAGATTATTTAGTGATCGACGCAGCGCTGGATCATAGAGCAGGGCATTGCTGGAGCGCACCCAGCGATAGAAGTGCACTATTTGAAAGTCGGAAAAGATGTTTTGGTTGATGGACACCTCACGTAACCAGCCATTCACCATGGAGCGCATAACACGAAAGGCGGCGGAGCACAGAGCAGTCTCATCATAGCTGGGCAACGTAGCTGCCGGCACCGTGCCGATCATTTCCTCCAGAGATGCCTGCGGCATCACATCGAACGTAATGGCCGAGGAGGCGCCCTCCATTTCCTGAATCCTATTCGACTGCAGCAATGCGCTCACGGCCAGACTGTCCAGAGCCAGCTCGACGCACACATCTGAGTAGAAGCCGGCGCGATTCTGCACCACCGTGATGCTCTCCTCAAACTCAGCCAGCAGTCGACTGTCGTCCGCCTCACGGCCGCCCAAATCCGGACGAGTGCTGGCCGACCACCACAGCACAAAGTTGTGCTTCTGGAGAAGGCGGGCAAAGAAGAGATCCGCACCAAAGAGAACCGTATCCGGCGGCATGTTGCCAATGGGCACATGGAAGTAACGGCATTGATCTAGCATCAGCTCCAGCACATTGTTCAGGTTGAGGAAATGACGCACCACAGCGCGAGCACCCTGACGCTGCCAGTCCAAGCCAGAGAGCAGGCTCGCGTCATCGGAGATGTGTATTTGGGCCTGCGGAAACTCCAACAGCACAGGCATGGCAGCGCTCAATTTCCTCGCCTCGATGGCCGTCTGCAGGCAGAGCATGGTGGGTCCCGACTGTTCCTGTTTGTAGGCAGACAAGGCGCGCTGTATGTGCCTGTAGATCTGCTTCACGTCCACCTCGATGAGCACCTCAAAGCTGAAATCCTCCGCTGGCAGTTTCTCAATCTGTGCCGCCTGCTGCAGGTTCTTGATCAGCGCCAGACGCTCCGCCACGTAGAGCTGCTTCATGTTGGGCATTTGGTTGGCGCGCACCGTATCCAAAGCGAAGACCAAGGCCTTCTTGCTGGGCAGCAAGAACAGTGCCCAGATCTCCTTCTTAGCCGTGGGTATATTGTGCTGATATAGATAGATCTTGCGCAGCTTGGTGCTGGCATGCTGCAAGTATCTGATGTGCGACTGTGGACGCTGTTCCAGCTGCTCAATGCTGAAGGTCTCCAGTTCGCGCGTTGATAGTAGAGCCAGGCGACGTGCCTCCTCGCGCTCCACGCCACAAATGCAGCCCATATCCATGAGCGCTCGAAATTCGAGCGTCATTTGCGTCTCGTAGATGCCCTCGATATCGGGAGTGGCCAAGTCTGCCAGCATGCCCAGGCAATTGTCGCGAAACAGCTGCTCCGGCACGCTATACCGATACAGATTGTAAACGGGACGCGAGCGCGGCAGTACACGATGTACCTTACGCCACAGCTGACCCTCCTCGGGCGGCGCTGCACTGCGCTGGTTCACATAAAAAATTCGCGGCACCGTCAACTTGATGCGATGCAGCTCCTCGCCAATTAAAGCCCATACAGTAAACTGCCCCAAATCGTTTACCGGCACCAGCTGCAGTATTTGCCAGGGCTGATCCAGCAGTGTGCGCTGTGCCCGCCTCAAAAATCCACCCAGCGTAGCCGCAGATGTTGTTGCTCTGGTCGCGGCCTGCGCAGATACCGCTCCTGCAGCGGTCTCAGTGCCATTGCGCTGCCGTTTGCTCTGCTGCCGACAACGTTGGCGCTGCTCCTGCTGCCAGGCCCATTTGCGCTTCTGGAAACGCACCCATTCGACTATCGTCTTGCGGGTTTCACCAATGGCGGGCGGTGCCCCAAGGGCCTGGCGCCATGTCTTTGGCTGTGGCGTGGACTCTGCCGCATTTCCTTCCTCATCATCGTCATCTAGATGTACACGCTTCCGCTTAGTCACAATTGGTCTGCCTGAAGCTTCTGCATCTTCTTTACCCGCCATATCCTCCATGTCGCCCAGTTCTAATTGTTTATCCTCCGTTGCCAGCGCAGGCTTTGGCCGCGGCCTGCTGGTAAACATCTCATTAATGCGTCGCTGCTTCAACACATCATTCTTCTCCAGCATTTTCTTGTGCAGCCAGTCCGGATGCTGGACCCGCGGCACCGGGTTGGCCAAGCCCTGCAGCGCAGCGGGTATGGTAATGATCTTCTGGATGGTGCCGCCCAAGCGCTCAATATAGTAGTTCCAGTCCAACACATCGCGTATATCCGCATCGCCCATGGTGTTGTCCTTGAGCCAGCGACGCAAATGATGGCGCCGCACGCTGGGCTCCGACTGAAAGATGGCCAGCGGCACGGCACGTTCAGTGACAGGCGCGCCCTCGGGCTTCTTGGATATGATGTACTTGCAGGCCAGACCCGCATCCTTGACCATTTGCTCGCCCAGGAACTCGGCCAGACGCTTGGCCGTTGATATGGATGTGCTTTTCTGGGCGCCATATTCCTCCAGCTTTTTGGACATCGACTTGTTCTCGGCAATCAGCTCGAATAGCTCCGAGTCGGGCAGATTGGAGCCGCGACTGTAGAGCACATCCAGCCAATAATCGGCCACCTTAGCCACGGAGGCATAGCACTCCTCTAGTGTGCTTCCAGCCAGAAATGCCTCGAAAACGGAGCTCTGAAAGTTCTTAATCAGCTGCAGCTCACCGCGTCGCTTAACCTCGAAACCTTTCAACTCCGCCAAGGAGCCATCGAAATTGAATACCGCATAGCGTTTCTTTAGCTTCTTGCCCTCCTCCTTGGCGGCGGGCAGCACCATGGCCAGATATGGGCCATCCACCTCAAAGAAAATGGAGTTCTCATCGCGTACGTCGTAGCTTGGCGGCTCGCCCTTCTCCGCTTTGCGCAGCTCGTGGTACTGATCGTTGGTAAAGTGATCCTTCACCATCGTATTCAGCACAGCATTGGGATACGAGATGTTTATTTTCTTCTTCTTCTCATGAGTGGTGTGCACAGTGAACTCCTGTGGAAATGAGCCCGGCAATATGCACCAGATACCATCGGTGTCCAGCTCCAGCGGACGACCCACACGCTCAATGATCTCGCGCGCCTTGGTAATGATGTTGGAGCCGGTGAGGCAGACAATGCCCGCCATGGGCATGGAATGCCAGCGCGCACCGCGCCGCATCACATAGCCATAGAAGGAGTTGAGAATGCACTTGTGAGCCAGCTGCAGTGAATCGTAGAGCACCTCGCGTCCCTTGGCCGCCTTTATCTCGGCCGCATCGCCCGAGGCGATGGCCGCATTGACCGACGCCTTGGCCGTCTTGGTCAGGCCCTTGTACTCATAGCGACGATCACGAAAGGCGCGCACGGTGTCCACATAGAAACTATTCTCCTTTTGGCAAATGGTCGAGTTGCGCGTCTCCAGCTTAGTGATTTTGGTCTTTTTGTACGCCTTGCGGCAGTAATCCGACAGAC